CAGAAGCTATTGGGTCCACGTGACGCCACGTTGGTTCCTCGCTCGAAACGCAATCATTCTTGAGTTATACGAAGAGGGTGGCGGCTGCGACGGCCCGCGTACACCGGATACGCCTATATAAAGAAGACGTCTACGTGCCGCTTGCATCCCTGACAAACTTCCTTTTGATTGGTCCTGGCCATCGGTTACTGATCGTACGTGAATCCGATTCCCTTCGACGTTTAATAGACCGCGTGCTTTATGGTGTATCTCTGACTCTCTTTTTTCTTAACCGAGCTTCTTTTGCTTCAACTCGGATCTTTTGGGTCTTCTAGTTAGGTCATCTAGGTGGGTTTAGTTGGCTCTTCCATTTAGGTCCACGTGAGTCATCTAGTTAGGTCTGCTTAGGGTATCTAGTTAGTCTAGTTAGGTCATCTAGTTGGGCCTAGTTGGCTTTTCCATTTAGGTCCACGTGAGTCATCTAGTTAGGTCTGCTTAGGGCATCTAGTTAGTCTAGTTAGGTCGTCTAGTTGGACCTAGTTGGCTCTTCCATGTAGGTCTAGTTGGGTCCTCTAGTTAGGTCATCTGCTTAGGGCATCTAGTTAGTCTAGTTAGGTCGTCTAGTTGGACCTAGTTGGATCTTCCATGTAGGTCTAGTTGGCTCTTCTAGTTAGGTCTATTTAGGGTATCTAGTTAGTCCAGTTAGGTCATCTAGTTGAGTCCAGTTGGCTCTTCCATTTAGGTCTAGTTGGGTCATCTAGTTAGGTCTACTTAGGGCATCTAGTTAGGTCTAGTTGGGTGATCTAGTTAGGTCTAGTTGGTCATCTAGTTAGGTCTACTTGTTAGGTCTAGTTGGGTATTCTATTTAGACCTAGTTGGCTTTTCTATTTAGGTCTAGTTGAGTCTACTTAGGTCTAGGTGGGTCATCTAGTTAGGTCTTGTATTTAGGCCTAGTTGGGTCTATTTAGATGTAGTTGGCTTATCTAGTTAGGTCTAGTTGTCTCTTCTATTTAAGTCTAGTTAGATCTACTTAGGTCCAGTTGGGTCTATTTAAATCTAGCTGGGTCCTCATTCTTAAGCTTCAATTTTTTTAAGCTCATGTGAAGCTACTATTTAAAACGTGGTCTCCAGCTACTCTTCAACCTTGTATCAACATTAGTAAAACATTTATGCTCGGTCAGACGTTAAGCTTTATGTCCTAGTGTCCTCTAATAGACAGCCATTTTGTAACAAGAATATCACAGACAATTTTGATGAACTTTAATCTGACGTACAGCCATTTTGTAACAAGTATATCACTGAAAGTGCAAATTCTTTAAAACTGAACCTTAATGAACGAAGATTCGTTCTATCAAAGTCGAATTATTCAGTTTTGTACATGGAGGTTGTTCGGAGCATCTCGATACACGGTTCGATGAAATTTTTCCAGCCGACCTGATCCTCTCTCTCTCCGGGACGCTCGTCAAAGTGGCCGGCTTTTCAACGGCGAACACACAAAGTGACGACGACGGATTATTTTCCGAAAAGTTCCGCGGCATCGGCCACGTCAGAGATTTTCTACACGTTAGAAGAGGAAGAGAGAGAGAGCTCGTTAATGCTTTATCGTGCTGTGCGCCCGACTGGATTTGGCCCACTTAGCCGTTTCTGGAATCCTTCGATCGATCCACTCGTCACATCCGGTTCTTGCATCCATTTCGAGTTCTATCCGCGATGGATGCACAACGACGCCTGACACCACCTAACTGTTCCTACAGTTGACAATTTTAATTTCCTTAGTGTTCTTCTCTGGGTCCGACTGTCACTGACCTGTCGTTTCGGATACAAATAGACTTCTCATGCTACAGGAAGTCCATATATTTTCATACTCTTTAGCAACTTCTTTCAGGACATGTCTCTCCATTTTTGGATCATTCTTGCGACTCGTTTAGTGTTTACTGTCGTCGTTGTTTAGTCATACAGTTGAAATATGGTTTCACTTCTTTCGCTTTCGGGATGTCTTCATTTTTGGATCTTGGAATATAGTCACTTAATGCTACTGTCGTCGTTATTTAGTCATACAGTTAAAATATAGTTTCACTTCTTTCGTTTTCGGGTGCCTCTCCATTTTTGGATCTTAGAAGTCACATAATCATTTAGTGCTACTGTCGTCGTTACTTAGTCACGCAGTTAAAATATGGTTTCACTTGCTAATAGCTAATTTCACTTGCCCTTGCTAACCAGGGTTACCTTGGTAGTTAGAGGACCTATGTGAACTACGTGTCAATGTTAAAATCTTAAGAAGACCTACGACATTTCGATCTTAAATCCCCGACTTCAAAGTCCGAAGAAGAAAAAGGATGAAAAAGAAGACAGGACAATCGAAAAATGAAACGAGGATGTTCGCGAGTCGATCGAGGCCTCTCTCGATCCAAAAAACTCCCGAGGGTAATAATGAACGCGTCAATTTTTCGTCTCTGTCGGCTGTCCACCCCTTCGAGCCACCCCCTTAGCCGTTGCTCCCGATGTCCCTGTTCCCGGTGCCATTTTTTTCGCGAGCTTCCTTTCATTCGTTATCGGTTCGCTTGCTAATGGCACACGATTGCCTTTTCAACCCCCTTCCACCCTCGTATCTTTTTCTTCGTCCCTTTTGCTTGGCATTCCATTTTCGAGGATCGACGATCCATCGAGACTGGGCAGATCATTTTCTACCGGGTGGATTAGATGGGTTTCGATCGCAATTAGCTGCTTTCATTAACATAGTTATTTTAAATTTCTGTGGAAAATTTTTTTTAGGTGAAATTTGTGGGGAAAGATTTGATGAGGTCTTAGTCACTGTTCTGAGCAAACACATGTAGTCAACATGTGAACTTACTATGGGACTTAGTATATCACATAAATGGGACTCAACATAAATCAACAATATCCTAAACTTTGTCAACCATGCTTAAGAAGTTACATGAAACGAGTACTCGTAATTGATAAATGTTATTAGACGAGATAGACTATAAACAAAATGGAGGAGAGAAATTTTGAGGAGTACGCAAAGGCGTTAATTCGGAACGCATTCGGAGAGATACATTTTGCGATGGTTTTTTTATTGCAGCGATTCGATTCCGTCGTTCGAAAGGGTGGCCTATTATCGAGAGAAATTCGAACGATTTTCAAGCTTTCCATGGGGGACCGATCGAGACTCGGACAAAGGGAAAATTGACGAGTTATTTAATCTAATATCGGTCCGGTCGGTCGGAATTCGTGCCCGGGGAAACGATGTACGCGTGTAAACGTTATTTCTCCCATTCGATTCTTTTCTTCTTTCGCCAATATATTTTTATTCTCGTTCGTTTCTGCCCCCCACTTTGATGGCGCAATTATGCGCCATAACGTCGCAAAGAGCAGCGATTACGTGGCAATTTCGAGATAATATTCGATCGATCGAGCGCGGAGAATTCCTTGCGAATTAATATTTTTTGAGGGTCTTTGAAACGTGAAGGAAGCCGGGCAAAAAATGGCCGATTGTGGAGGAAGTTTGAAAGTTTCGTGAATCGAAGAAAATTGGCTGTTTCTTAATTGGAACCTTGACACGTTTCGCCGTCCGTATTGGAAGTTTTCTAATTGGAAAATTCAAGATTCGCTATTAGAAATAAGGAAAGTCTGGAAATTCCCAATTAGCGAACTCGGATTTTCCTACTTATGGCAGTTAGAAACTGCTTCCTAATTTGGCTATCTATAAGCTTAGAAAGTCGGAAGATTAGTAGAAACTTGTGGGAATCGGAAATTCCAGAATTTCGCAATTAGGAAACTAGTGTTTTCCCACTTCCAGTTTCCTAATTATCGCCGAAACTTGTCTGTTTATTAAAAAGATCATAAACTGTTGCTTAAAGAATTTCTCACATCTTCCCATTTTCTCAAAAGATCAATAAAAATTCAAGAACACTGATCAGTGAAAAATTCAAATTAACGAAATCAGATTTCGAGGAAGACCGCGGGAAAAAATCAGCTCTCTGTCTCGTCGTTTTGGAAACGAGCCAATGAGGGAAAAAGAGGAGGCCGGGTGAAACAAGAAAGGAAAAAAAGCGTATGCTCGACGAGACGTAATACCACTCAGATTCGAAACAAGCAACACAACTATCATCATCATCAGTCACTCGGAACACGAAACGAGAACCACAATGGGAAACTCAATTCGCTTTTCCAAGGGAAATGCATCTCTTGACGCTCTTGCATCGTCTCACACCATGTACACAAAAATACATTGAACACGTGTTACCCCTTGATGCCCTTCAATTGTGGTGCAGTTGCATTCGGAGATACCAAGCTATTTTCGTATTTTCACCTCTAGGGTCAAGCAGGGTGTGAACTAATATCCCTGAAATGAGGGGGAGTTGATTCTGAACAAGATTTCCCTTTGCAGAAATTCGATCCGAAGCTCCGTTTTTGAGTTATTAAGGAAAAACACCGGGCCAATCGGAGCGCGAGGATTTCCCGCGCTCGGCCGCTGGCTGCGCGCGCATCGCGGCTCTGATTGGTCCGGCGTTTTTCCTTTGTAATTCAAAAACGGAGCTTCGGATCGAATTTCTGTAAAGGGAAATTTTGTTCAGAATCATCTCCCCCTCATTTTAAGGACACTAGTTTACACCCTTTATTAGGGTAGCAACTCTGAATTCGCAAGACTTGTCTTAGGCTCCGTATCTTCGAAGGCAACTGTGTCTTTAGTGATATGTTTATAAGCTGTAGAGATATCCCGTGGTATGCGACCCCTATTTTTATTCTACCTTGTTGTACGTGTTTATTATATATTTACCCTTTGAATATTTCAGTGTGTATTATCTGTAACACACACTTACTGTTTTCGTTTGGCTGCGACTTTCCATGAAAATTGTCACTTGGCTGCTAGCGGAAACAGACAATATAAGACACGCTTCATAACAGAGAAACGTAGAGAACAAGATACATTACACTTTAAAGACGACCCTTCAAGGTGCAAGGGTCGTCAGATCGAATTGTTCCTTGTTGATTCATATTTTCTTTTTTTCTCTTTTCAGCTGCACAGATTCCACAACGCGGAAGTAAGTGACATCTTGAATTATTTCTTTAAACAGCTGATGAGACTTGCATGATCCAAATTCCAGTTCATCTTTTCAGTTTATTTTTAGAAGATTTTCTACGAAATAGATCGTGCAGATCTCATCGGAAGTTAATTGGAACACGAAAAAATATCCTTCTCCTCGCACTTTAGAATCAAATAAAGTTAGCCGATGTGCAGAAACCAGTGTTCCAGAAATTAGGAGGAGTTTATTCTGAACAAAATTTCCCTTTGCAGAAATTCGATCCGAAGCTCCGTTTTTGAGTTATTAAGGAAAAACACCGGGCCAATCGGAGCGCGAGGATTTCCCGCGCTCGGCCGCTGGCTGCGCGCGCATCGCGGCTCTGATTGGTCCGGCGTTTTTCCTTTGTAATTCAAAAACGGAGCTTCGGATCGAATTTCTGTAAAGGGAAATTTTGTTCAGAATCATCTCCCCCTCATTTTAAGGACACTAGTTTACACCCTTTATTAGGGTAGCAACTCTGAATTCGCAAGACTTGTCTTAGGCTCCGTATCTTCGAAGGCAACTGTGTCTTTAGTGATATGTTTATAAGCTGTAGAGATATCCCGTGGTATGCGACCCCTATTTTTATTCTACCTTGTTGTACGTGTTTATTATATATTTACCCTTTGAATATTTCAGTGTGTATTATCTGTAACACACACTTACTGTTTTCGTTTGGCTGCGACTTTCCATGAAAATTGTCACTTGGCTGCTAGCGGAAACAGACAATATAAGACACGCTTCATAACAGAGAAACGTAGAGAACAAGATACATTACACTTTAAAGACGACCCTTCAAGGTGCAAGGGTCGTCAGATCGAATTGTTCCTTGTTGATTCATATTTTCTTTTTTTCTCTTTTCAGCTGCACAGATTCCACAACGCGGAAGTAAGTGACATCTTGAATTATTTCTTTAAACAGCTGATGAGACTTGCATGATCCAAATTCCAGTTCATCTTTTCAGTTTATTTTTAGAAGATTTTCTACGAAATAGATCGTGCAGATCTCATCGGAAGTTAATTGGAACACGAAAAAATATCCTTCTCCTCGCACTTTAGAATCAAATACTTAACTACATCGACGCTTTTCTTTCGCTAATTACCAATTAGTTCGCACCCTTTGTAACGAAACACTTTGTGGGTCACAATCTTCGCGTGGATCTCAGATTGCGGGCTTGTTCAACCTTTCATAGTTGTATCGCGTTTTTCTGTTTGAGATTTCCTTTCTCTTTCTATTTTTTGCGCTCGAAAGCTCCGCTGTTGGGCAACCTTTTTAGCTAACTTTTTTACTAATGTCACTATTGTTCACTATGTTTATACATTAAAGTAAATATACATCTACAGATTTAAATGTTTATTATAAATGAAGCTGAATATACATCTTCAGACTTGAATAATATTTATTATAAATTAAACTGAGTATACATCTTCAGATTTAAACAATGTTTATTATAAGTGAAGCTGGATATATAACTTCAGACTTAAATAATATTTATTATAAATTAAAGTGAATATACATCTTCAGATTTAAACAATGTTTATTATAAATGAAGTTGAATATACATCTTCAGATTTAAATAAAGTTTATTATTAATTAAACTGAATATACGTGTTCAGATTTAAACAATGTTTATTATAAGTCAAGCTGGATATATAACTTCAGATTTAAATAATGTTTATTGTAAATTAAACTGAATATACATGTTCAGATTTAAACAATGTTTATTATAAATGAAACTGAACATACATCTTCAGACTTAAATAATGTTTATTATAAATTAAATTGAATATACATCTTCAGATTTAAATAATGTTTATTACAAATGAAGTTGAATATATAACTTCAAACTTGAATAATGTTTATTATAAATTAAACTGAATATACATGTTCAGATTTAAACAATGTTTATTATAAGTGAAGCTGGATATATAACTTCAGATTTAAATAATGTTTATTATAAATTAAACTGAATATACATCTTCAGATTTAAATAATGTTTATTATAAATGAAGTTGAATATACATCTTTAGACTTAAATAATGTTTATTATAAATTAAACTGAATATACATGTTCAGATTTAAACAATGTTTATTATAAATTAAACTAGAAATACAATATAGCAGGCGAAGTCTTTCGAGCGCAAAAATATAGATGGCCGATGAGATATGAAAATCGATTAGTTGTTTTGATATTTTTATTGAAATACCGTGGCTCCTTTGACGGAATAAATGGACTAAAGGACCATTTGAATTTTAGCATGCAAGAGGAAAGACGAGATGGCGAGCCAGGCAGAACACCAACAGCCCGCCCCCAAGAAACCGCGGCTGGTTTTCACAGACCTTCAGCGCCGTACTCTACAGGCTATTTTTAAAGTAAGTCTTGTATAACTTAACTTTGCGTTTTGATCGATACCGGCCGCCTCTTCGCCACGTCGTGCCCTGAATGTCCCGATTGCCCCGGGGAAAAGGATGCTCAAAGACACTGGCTAACCTGACAAATTCATCCCCTTTACTCTTCAAAGAGCGTCCTACGGTGTTTAGTTTCCCTGCTCCTTTTAATGTTTATGTCTTTTAAAGATGTGCTTTGGGGATTTAGTTCAAATTGTGAACAATGTCGAAAGTGGACACTTCCTAAGTATCGGTTCACTTGGGTATTTCTTTTGAAAATTATTGTGTTCTCGGACAATTCTAACTCTTGACCATTTTTTCCTGAAAGTCTGTTTCGAAAATTGAGACCTAAGCTTTTATTCTCCTCGGAAGTAATTTCGCTTCCCAGAACTTATTGGGTGAAAATCAGTTCTCGGAATCTCCGGAATCTCGATAACAAGGATAACTATAAAACTAACATGGACAGGGGGTGACAAAAAGGGAAAACTAAGTAGAAGCGTATTCGTCTGTTCTCTGGAAGTATGCCAAATAGTTCGCGAATTGACCTTAGCCCAGTTAACGCTACCGCTCGATCTTTCTCGCATTCCGCTTCCATTTCCCCGACGATTATTCGAACTTCAAACTTCCGATCGATCTTTCTACTTTTCTTTTCCGAAATCGTTCTCTATCCGATCAATTTCCTGCCAAACATGTACAACTTTCTGTCAGAAATTAAAACTAACCCCGCTATGATTTGTCAGATGCGTCAAAATCACTGTAGCATTCAAACAGGCAAAGAAAATTAAAATTTTGTATCAATTTCGTATTATATGTTGACTATGCAGATCACAATTGAAGTCCACAATGAAATGTATTAAAAATTGGGGTAAAATTGGTCATAGCTGAAGAAGTACGTCATGAGTGCGTCAGATGTGCGTCATAAGTGCATCATGAGTGCGTCGTTATGTTCTGAAACTATCGAGTGTGCGTCATGAATGCGTCATGACGTTCTGAAACCATTGAGTGTGCGTCATGATGTTCTGAAACCATTGAGTGTGCGTCATAAGTGCGTCTTGATGTTCTGAAACCATTGAGTGTGTGTCATGAGTGCGTCATTATGTTCTGAAACCATTGAGTGTGCGTCATGAGTGCGTCATTATGTTCTGAGACCATTGAGTGTGCGTTATGAGTGCGTCATTATGTTCTGAAACAATTGAGTGTGCGTCATGAGTGCGTCATTATGTTCTGAAACCATTGAGTGTGCGTCACGAGTGCGTCATGAGTGTGTCACCAGTCAGATTCATCAAAATAATACAAATGGGTTAATACTGCACGTACTTTCTTTAACCCTTGCAGTCTAAACAAGTACTTCTTCATATAAAAGTCATGTAATTCAAGATAACCCTTATAAAAGGATAACTTAAGCTCTCGTCCAACATCGTGCACACATGTGACACACGCTACAATTCACATATGACAAACTACATTCGTATTTCCACTGCAATTTTGCAATTCAATTGCAATTGCAATCTGCATAATCATCTGATAGACCTAACATTTTAACTTTCTTAATTAGTTGTAGAATTAAGTGCAGAAAATTGTAGATCAACTTAGAATGAGCAAATTAGAATCGTAAGTAGAAAATAGATATCGTTCGAAGGACGAAGGATTTTCTTCCTTTTCGAGATTCCGGTGACACCCTTCACCCCGTCACGCGTATGCAATCCTCAACAACCCCTCACAGTGGCTGTCAAGGAATAATCACGATCCCCGCGCCGATAGTGTCCTGTATTTCGAACAATTGATACGTTTCTCTCTCTGCTACGTGGATCGAACAGAGGCAGCAACCTTCGTTTCGTTGCGTTACACGCGGTGAATTACAGCCAGGACAGGATATCAATACGCTCGCTAGGATCTTCAAATGTCACGCCAGTGTCTTTTCCAGCTAATAATTTACCCAATGGGAATTGTTTAACGCTGCCACGTTAAATTCGACACTGGACAATCGTCCATTATTCTCTTCTTTATCTCCGTGATTTATTTCCAAATATGATAAAGCCGCTGTTCGATGTTTGTCACCAAGACATTCATCACGAAAATCTTGTTATTCCGAACGAGTGATAAGCAACTTTAAATTTGAATCATATTTTCACCATGATTCAATTTCGAGTTTAATTGCAATTCCTCCAACAATTATCGCCAGAACGTCCCTAACATTTGAACATTCTTTGTCTGACGCACTAGCTGAGACCCTGACGCACTAACTGAGACCCTGACGCACTAACTGAGACCTTGACGCAATCGCTGAGACCCTGACGCACTAACTGAGACCTTGACGCACTCGCTGAAACTTCGACGCATTCGCTGAGACTTTGACGCACTAGCTGAGAGCTTGACACGCTCTCTGGAACCCTGACGCACTCTCTGAGACCCTGACGCACTTGCTATGACCTTGACGCACTCGCTGAGACCTTGATGCACTCGCTGAGACTCTGACGCACTATCTGAGACCCTGACGCACTCGCTGAGACTCTGACGCACTCTCTGAGACCCTGACGCACTAGCTGAGACCTTGACGCACTCGCTGAGACCCTGACGCACTCACTGAGACTTTGACGCACTAGCTGAGAGCTTGACGCACTCTCTGGAACCCTGACGCACTCTCTGAGACCCTGACGCACTTGCTATGACCTTGACGCACTCGCTGAGACCTTGATGCACTCGCTGAGACTCTGACGCACTATCTGAGACCCTGACGCACTCGCTGAGACTCTGACGCACTCTCTGAGACCCTGACGTATTCTCTGAGACCCTGACGCACTAGCTGAGACCCTGACGCACTAACTGAGACCTTGACGCAATCGCTGAGACCCTGACGCACTAACTGAGACCTTGACGCACTCGCTGAAACTTCGACGCATTCGCTGAGACTTTGACGCACTAGCTGAGAGCTTGACACGCTCGCTGAGACCCTGACGCACTAGCTGAGACCTTGACGCACTCGCTGAGACTCTGACGCACTACTTGAGACCTTGACGCACTCGCTGAGACCCTGACGCACTCTCTGAGACCCTGACGTATTCTCTGAGACCCTGACGCACTAGCTGAGACCCTGACGCACTAGCTGAGACCTTGACGCACTCGCTGAGACTCTGACGCACTCTCTGAGACCCTGACGCACTTGCTATGACCTTGACGCACTCGCTGAGACCCTGACGCACCGTCTGAGATCTTGACGCACTGACTAAGAGAATCATAAGTTGTAATAAAAATGTCCGGTAGGGAGTCAAAGGGTTGCATTCCGTCGCACGCGTCCCATCGGTTCGTAATAATTGTTCCTTCGAGCAATCGATACTGTACGGCTCGTCCGTTATTGATCGACCCACGCCGGCTAAGAAACGTCGCGTGGGAAGAAAGCGTGCCAGTCGAAGCGTTTACCGCATGTGAAGAAATTTTTTACCATTCCCTTATCCCCCGGCTCCGCCATCGTCAACGGCCACGATTTTTCTTAACGTCGTTTCCGGTAGCCGTGGAAGCGGCACGGTAAACAGACAGCTTCTCGCTTTGAAGGTTATTAAGTTTGTCTCGCAACGAGATAGACATAACAGAGAGAAAAAGGGAACAAGGGAATTATAAGCGGAGACGGTACATGAATATTAATTTTACTGGGACTCATAGAAAAGATCTCTTTGTGGAGAAATTCCTTTTGCTCGACTCGGAGATCGTAAATGGGATTCGTAATCGATGTAATATAAATATTAATTGTTTCTAGATATTGCGATACGGGTACATAGGTCACCCTCGGGCTTCGAACTACTCTGAATTCATATTTTTGTATGTTCTCGAGCTTTGGAGTGCTTAGCTAGCATCAAAGCGTATTCTAGCTTGTAGATCTAGCGTCAGAATTGCTGTTGAGGCTTTCGGGTGTCAGCCATGTCCTAAGTTCCCAACGTTCTTTGTTAAGAAACTTGCTAGTTCACGCGAGATGTGATTTAACCTCTCAGTAGCCACGTCTAAGAGGTTAAATCACACGTAGGTGATGCACGAGTGACTAACAAGCGACTCGGTTGCAGGAGACCAAGAGGCCGTCGAAGGAGATGCAGGTGACAATCGCCAGGCAGTTGGGCCTGGAGCCGACGACGGTCGGCAACTTCTTCATGAACGCTCGACGTCGTTCCATGGACAAATGGAAGGACGAGGACCCGAAGACCGTGGCGGTCGAAGAAGGACAGCTATCGCCTACAATAGGTATCGGGCAACGGCAGCCAAGCGACGTTTTGTGACACACGTCCGACCACGAGGAGTACCACGACGAGTCACCCGAAGAAGATTTACCCTTCTCGTAAGGGATAAACCGATTATACGGACGCGATTTCGTAAAACACCGACTGAACTGGGAACTGCTTTTCATGTAAATAAATCGAGGTCCCAGGACGTGGCGTGTTTGGGTCTCAAACTTTATGACCGTTCAAAATCAGCAGAAAGATATCATTTTGACCCAGACATTCTTTATTTGGACAGATATGCGCTTTTGTTATACGTGCTTCATACATGTTTCAGATAAAACGATATCAATTATTATGTTCAATTGATGGACTATCGAACAATGTACAGAGACAGATTCACTAGACTTGTTTAACTATCTTTTATTAATTTTAACAGCAATTTTTGAAGGGATCTTTAAACATGTCTACCAAAATTTGTTAAGTAAGGTCAGAATTAAATACTTGAATGTACTTGGAGGTTTTTAAAAATGTCTACAAAACTTGTCAAGCGAAATAACAATTAAAAATTTGATTGTATTCGGAGATTTTTAAACATGTCTACTAAATTTGTTAAGTAAAATCACAATTGAAAATTTGAATGTACTTGGAGATTTTTAAAAATGTCTACAAAACTTGGCAAGTGAAATCACAATTAAAAATTTGATTGTATTTGGAGATTTTTTAAAATGTCTACAAAACTTGTCAAGTAAAATCATAATTAAAAATTTGAATATACTTGGAGGTTTTTAAAAATGTCTACAAAACTTGTCAAGTAAAATCTTATAAAAAATGTCTACTAAATTTGTTAAGTAAAGCCACAATTAAGGAATTGAATATACTTGGACATTTTTAAAAATGTCTGCTAAATTTGTTAAGTCAAGTCACAATTAAAATATAGAATATACCTGGAGATTTTTAAACGTCCTGAAATCCACACAGTAAATTAGAATAAACACGAAAGATCTCCAAGGCGATAACAGCAGGGTAACCTATCTTGTTGAAAGATCCGAGGCAACACAAGGACCATATGGTGTAATTATCTTATGGCCGGAGTTTAATAAGCACGGTCTCTGTGATAATTTTTTGAACGGTAGCATATGCTTGTTTATGAATAATTACGAAGCCACGTCCTACAGCGCAGTAACGTTGAAGACTTTCCGTCGAGGTTACGTAGAACTTGATTTGAAAGCAATAAACGAAAACCACGTTCCAGGGCAGTAGGCGAAACCGTGTCCGAAGACCATCGATGCTAAAATTCAGTTTCACGCGTTGTGGAGGAAATATCGAGTGAACAACTTGGTGCCATAATTTGCCATATTAGAGTAAGATTTGAAATCTTTCTAGTCTATGCGTGTCACGGTGGTTTACCACCCCTGTTTCTTATCTAGTCAAAATTGCGGGTGACACGTTGCGAGTTCTTTGGAAAAACGTGTTCGAATTATGATGCGTTCCTTGAAGGGACATTTAACATGGACATTCCTTAAAAAATTTTGTAACCCGAGGGTTGAAACGTAATTTAGAAAATTCGAGAACTAATTTGAAAACCCTTTGCTCGTCAAAAATCCTAACAAAAATATTTTCCAAACACGTTCTAAAGAACCCAGAAAAAGGCGCAAAAATTCGAAGGCAGAGGGTGACAAGGGTGAAACTGAGATTTGTAATCGATGGTCGAAAAGGGTGAACTCGTCGTATCCTCGTTGGTCGTTAAGGAAAAAAAAAACAGTAAAAAAGAAACCGTTTAGAAAACTGAACAAGGACGCGAGTAAAAGAACAAACTTCGTTTCTTAACACACACGTAACACACGTAAATCCACACACACAAACACACCACACAAAGAGGAAACAAAGAGGCATCGTGTCGAGGGTGCACGTGCCAAGTGATATATTATATTCTACGTATGTAAACGAACATTGTATATCGGAGTGGACGCTGGTTTGCGCTAATCAAAGACGAGGACTAAGAAATAAAATGGTGCGCGGTGAACGGAAGTTCGTATCAGTGATTTCCGGTGTTCGGAAGAGGAGCGAATATGGCGTGAGTGGCGATGACGTAAAGTTCACCATTATTGGAGTAAATTATTCTCTAAATTATTGGATTTTTGGATCGGATTTTGGGGTCGGGCTGTTTGGGGTTTTGAACGTTTGGGGCTCTGAAGGTTTGGGGTTAGGTTACGTTTGGGGTTCTGAAGGTTTGGGGTTAGGTTACGTTTGGGGTTCTCAAGGTTTGGGGTTAGGTTAGGTTTGGAGTTCTCAAGGTTTGGGGTTAGGTTAGGTTTGGGGTTAGGATAGGTTTGGAGTTTGCAAAGTTGGGATTCTCAAAGTTTTGGGTTCTCACAGTTTGGGGTTCTCAAAGTTGGGATTCTCAGAGTTTTGGGTTCTCAAAGTTTGGGGTCCTCAAAGTTTGGAATTCTCAAAGTTTGGGCTCCTCAAGGTTTGGACTCCTCAAAGTTTGGGCTCCTCAAAGTTTGGACTCCTCAAGGTTTGGACTCCTCAAGGTTTGGGCTCCTCAAGGTTTGGGCTCCTCAAGGTTTGGGCTCCTCAAGGTTTGGGGTTCTCAAGGTTTAGGCTCCTCAAGGTTTGGGCTCCTCAAGGTTTGGACTCCTCAAGGTTTGGGCTCCTCAAGGTTTGGGCTCCTCAAAGATTGGGCTTCTCAAAGTTTGGGCTCCTCAAAGTTTGGACTCCTCAAGGTTTGGACTCCTCAAGGTTTGGGCTCCTCAAGGTTTGGGGTTCTCAAGGTTTGGGATTCTCAAAGATTGGGCTCCTCAAGGTTTGGACTCCTCAAGGTTTGGGCTCCTCAAGGTTTGGGGTTCTCAAGGTTTGGGATTCTCAAAGATTGGGCTCCTCAAGGTTTGGACTCCTCAAGGTTTGGGCTCCTCAAGGTTTGGGGTTCTCAAGGTTTGGGATTCTCAAAGATTGGGCTCCTCAAGGTTTGGACTCCTCAAGGTTTGGGCTCCTCAAGGTTTGGGGTTCTCAAGGTTTGGGATTCTCAAAGATTGGGCTCCTCAAGGTTTGGACTCCTCAAGGTTTGGGCTCCTCAAGGTTTGGGGTTCTCAAGGTTTGGGATTCTCAAAGATTGGGCTCCTCAAGGTTTGGACTCCTCAAGGTTTGGGCTCCTCAAGGTTTGGGGTTCTCAAGGTTTGGGATTCTCAAAGTTTGGGCTCCTCAAGGTTTGGGCTCCTCAAGGTTTGGGCTCCTCAAGATTTGGGCTCCTCAAGATTTGGGCTCCTCAAAGTTTGGGATTTTCTAAGTTTAGGATTCTGAAAGTTTGGGGTTCTATAAGTTTAATGTTTTGAACGTTTAGGGTTCTGAAAGTTTGGGGTTCTAAAAATGTGGAGTACTGACTGTTTGGGGTTCTGTAAGTTTAATGTTTTGAACGTTTAGTGGTCTAAAAGTTTGGGGTTCTGAAAGTGTGGAGTACTGACAGTTTGGGGTTCTGTAAGTTTAATGTTTTGAACGTTTAGGGTTCTGCAAGTTTGGGGTTCTGAAGATGTAAAGTACTGACAGTTTGGGGTTCTGTAAGTTTAATATTTTGAACGTTTAGTGTTCTAAAAGTTTGGGGTTCTAAAAGTGTGGAGTACTGACAGTTTCTGTACATTTAATGTTCTGTACATTTAATGTTTTGAACGTTTAGGGCTCTGAAAGTTTGTGATTCTGAAAATGTAAAGTACTGGCAGTTTGGGATTCTGTAAGTTTAACGTTTTGAACGTTCAGGGTTCTGCAAGTTTGGGGTTCTATAAGTTCAGGGTTCTGAAAGTTTGAGGTTTCAAAGTTTGTAGTCCACTAACGTTCATAATCCACATGTTTAAATTTTCTAACAAGAATGATCGTACTCTGAAGTTTTTGAGAGGTTCAAAACCTCTACTCCAGAGTTTATACTTTGACTAAAAATAAAATTCGCAACTTCGGAATTTATTGGAATAATGGTGGACTTACGAGTGTAAGAAAGGACGAGTGAATGAGGATTTTTGCGAACCGCGCTATCGTACCGCAATTGTGCTGTGCTATTGTACATATTAAAATGAAGAGAGAAAGGGGGAAGAGACTTTTGAGAGAAAGAAGAGGATGGTTGATCGAAGAGGAGGCTTCTTTTCGCGTTTCCCGCTTGCGAACCAATTTCCTTGGTGGAAAAGCCAGTTTTGTGTTCGATAGGGATATTATTTTCCACCGTTTTGTTGGAATCGAGCAAGAATTAAACTTTCACTTATCAAAGTTTCTGGACATCTGATTTTATTTTGAAAATTAATTCCTAACAAAATTATTCGAAATGTTGCTCTTGTTATTATTTTGAAAACTAATGGCTGACAGAATTATTGTTAATGCGAGACTCAGTATGTTATTAATATACGTTAAATAAAAATTCAAATTCAGAAAGTGAAAGAAAATTTTAGTCAGTAGATGAAATTCAATACTAGAGAACATATTTAAGTTCTCCATAAATGTCTGCCTAAAGTAAAAATAATTTCCCAAATTTTTCTTAGTTCTTGCCTCGATTTCAACGCAAACCAATTCCGTACTAGTCGATGCATTCCTTCGTTGAAAACGTCCAAACATAGCGAGCAGAAAAGGAAAAATTAGATATTTAGCCACAATTACCCCGCGTTCTTTCGGTTCCTCGTTCTGTTGTTTCCGTTCTACTTGGTCAGCATGCAACGAAACGAGAAAGAACACGGAACTGTTAAACTAGAAAAATGGGGGATCAGGGGGTGGGGGGCTTGAAAGGCGCGAGCCAAACTCATCGTACCAAAAAAAGGAAAAAGATGAAGAAGAAAACGAGCGTCGCGGACGTCGATTTATAAGATCATATATAGTACAAAGTAAACATATATTATTGTAATAACGGTTTAAATTAAATATAAGAAGCGTCGCTGTTCCACGATTCGGGTTCGTTTATGGTGATACGTGGTTGGCGTGTGCGAGTCAATGGGTACAGCATGGGTTGGTTTCGAGCGTCGAGTTTTTCATGGAAGTTTCCTCCTCCGTTTCGGGACGATCACTGAAGATTCGGATCGGATGTTAAGGAAAATTCTTCCATAAGGAGAATTTGCAGCGGGAGATTCGAAAGGTGACAGTGAAACTCGAGAGGGACGAGGGAACTCTGTACGATAAACTTGTAAATATATGTTTAATTGCGCACGATTGTTATTATTATTATATTACGAGCATCGTTATCACCATTACCATCGTCCTTATTTACATCATTACGATCATTGTAACGAGAGATATATATTGCGCAGGCGTTCTTTGTTGAGGATGGAGGGTGCGGTTAATTAGAGGAATTATTTCGGAAGGCTATCCACGAAATAGACCATCGATAACTGACGTATCGTTGAATAAAAGGGTAGAAGGAAGGGGAACCGAAGGACATACACACACACGCTATGTTACACGCGCGAGCAGAACCCGCTAAAAGCAAGAACATAGTATATGATTCGATATACTGGATATAAATATATAAATATATAAATATGAATATAAATGAATGATATATTATATATATATAAATATAAATATATAAATATATAAATATAATTGCCATTTTCTGGCAAAGCGGAGGGTAGTTAGTCAGGGGGGTAATTTAATATATTCGAGAAACCCCAGCGATTAAAGGGGTTCGATCG